CGTACACACACGTATCAGCATTTTATTATGTCTTCTGTCATCACCTGCTGATTTTTGCTTAGTATTTTAATATAAAATGCAATGCCATTTTTTCTTCTTCTTCGTTTTATTTCTTTTTGTATGAATTAAAAGGGAACACATACACATACAAGACTTTTTTTTTCTCTTTCTCCTTTTTTTTTTATATTCATAAAAGTGGTTCTCACATATAATAAATTATTCGTCCGAACAACCGAACAAATCTAATGATATCAATTGAGAAGTAGAAGAAAGAAACGAGAATAATAGTAAGATTTTTATTCGATATAAACTACGTGTCTGTCTGTCTTTGACTTTGTATATTGATGCGTTATTGTTGTTGTCAATGAGGATCAACATGACACTTGAACGAGTCGAGTAACATTTCAAAAGGAAGATTTTCTTATTTTTTACTTTTTCATGTCATTTTCTATTGTTCTTTTTCACTCCTATCGTTCAATGTGTTAAAAAGACAAAATAATTATATTCAAATTGAAAAACATTACTAGATGTCTCTTGTTTTTCTTTGAATATTACTAATATCGATATTGTTTTAGTAAAAGTAAGTTTTTTTTGTTTTGTTTTTATTGATGGATAAATTTATTTAATCATATGTTTATTCTATTCAATTTGACAAGTATTGACTACTATAATTATCTCTTCTAGATTTTCCATAATGTCAGTAAAGCGAAAACATGATTTTGATCAGCTTGAATCGTTTTTAATATCATGTCCTGAAGACGAACCAATTACAACGAAATATATCAAAACTGAAGACTTTTTAAATCATAATTCTCCATCAACTGATGAACGTAAGTAATAAGTCTTTTGTTTTTTTTGGTCGGGTTTGACAAAACACAAAAATAAATCTATTCTAATAGATGAATTAAACGAAAATCATTTAACATCTTCGCCATCTTTATCAAATGAATCTCATATAAAAGATACTAAAGTAACACAAGAACGAAATCGTCGTAAAACTCATTCTCAATCAAAACTATCACAAAATCCTACATCATCATCATCATCATCATCATCATCATCATCAACAAATGTTCGCACGATTCTTAATTTAATCGATTCATTAGTTGATGAAAAACAATTTGATAACAGTGATGAAAATCTATTATCCACTATTGATTGTCTTATTAATAGTTTAAAACATATACGTGAGAAAATTAAAACAATTAATCATGATGATACACATCCATTGAATTTATCTAAACCAAAAGTTCAACAACAGACACATGATGATACGAATTCAACAGCAACATCATCAAATTTTCCATTAGCATCTGGACTTTTTCCTTCTCAACCATTTTTTTCACCATTTTCTGGTAAAATTTTTAATACAAAACAATTTCGCTTTTTTTATTTTGTATCTTAATCTTATACTTTTTATTAGTTGCTAATATGACACATTTACAAAATTATTTGAAATTATCAGCTGCATCTGTGCTTAATGATTCAATCGTATGTATAAATATCATTGATTTCTTTTTGTTTAATATTTCTTTTTTTTTAGAATTTAAAAAATGGAGAAAATAACAATTTAAAAAATTCATTACCTTCACCATTTATTCCTGGTAATAAAAAAACAAATATATATATATGAATCAATCTAAATACTATAGGATTCTATTTATTTTCTATTAGGTTTCAATATGTTTCCTTTTTCATCAACATCAAATCATCTTCCTCATCATTCATCGAATGTAAAAACAACATCAGTTGAAACAATAAATACCAATCATAATAACAATCATCATCATCATCATCGTGAATCGTCCATTGATAGAAACTCATCATTAGGTATGTAAAAATATTTTGTCTATTGGTTTGTATTGGTCTTATAAAACAAAGAGAAAATATAAATCGTCCAACCAATCGCATTCAATTGCGATCGATTATCGTTAATATAATAAAAAACAAGGATAAAGAGAAACTAGTCGACTGCCGACTTAGATATTAAATGATCACAATGATGAGAATAATAATAGACAGACAAAAAAAATATTTATCTTTTGTTTCTTTTTATCTCTAATCTGATAATATACATCACTAAACATTACCTGTCTATTACGATAATAGTTAACCTATTGTAAATGAATAATAGTTAAAAGAATGATTGAAACAAAATCATTGATATAAAAATATTCGAAAAATTAATTTCTATTTAGCTCGTCAAATCTCATCAAATCGAAAAGAACGAAATCATTCAATATCATCAACGAATTTATCAATTTTAACTTCAAATAATGGAAATAGAGACATTATATCATCAAATGATCATATAAAACGTCCAATGAATGCATTTATGGTTTGGGCACGTGAAGAAAGACGAAAAATTTTAAAAGCTTGTCCAGATATGCATAATTCAAGTATTAGTAAAATATTAGGTACTCGTTGGAAAGCAATGACTAATGAAGAAAAACAACCATATTATGAAGAACAATCACGTTTAAGTAAAGTTCATATGGAAAAATATCCAGATTATCGATATAGACCACGGCCAAAACGAACATGTGTTGTTGATGGAAAAAAAATTCGTTGGTTAGTGAGTTTTGTTTTTTACTATTTTTTGTATTATTTTTTTTTTTTTTGTATCAGGTCGGAATATAAACAAATGTTAAAACAACGAAAAATTGGTCCATTTGATGAACAATATTCACCAGATGGTAGTCATTATTTAAGTAAATAATTCTTCGATTTTTTATTTTTGAAATTTGTTAAATTTTCATTTTCTAGACAATGATGATTGTAGTTCAGATGGTAGTAATAATTCACAGAAAGAACTTATTTTTACTGATTAATTAATGTGATTGATTTGAGACAGAGAAGGTGCTTAAAAACAGTATTCTCTCATGTCCGGTCAGGTGTGTATTCGACAGTTCATTTTATACAAATAAATACAGTGAATCTCATTGGATGTTTAACACACTTGTTTTTTTTTTGTTCAATGTAAATTAGGTTTTTTTTTTGTATTTGTGCGCATGGTTTTAATCCCGGTGCACACAATATATCTTTTGTTTTTCTTTTATTTCTTTTTTTTTTTTTTTTTTTGTGTTTTATGTTCATTATTCATATTCTATTCTTTTTATGTTTATTATTCTTACATTGTGTTTTTGTTTTTCTTTATATATAAAACAGTTTTTTGACATTCTAATGAAACATAAAAGATAAGATTTAAATTAATAGAGTAGAAAATGCAGTCATTTATAAGAGATTGGAATGATCTTGAATGTTTTGTATAAAATAGACAATAGAAAAATTTCTATTGATTTTGATAAGTTTTCTCCAAGGAAGTTTATCAAATGTGTGAAGAGTAAAAATAAGTAGAGAGGAAGAAAGAATAATTCTGGCTTTAAGCTACCTTGTCGTATGAAGTGCTGTCTAGCGGTTGATATCTTTATTACAATTGTAATGAGCTATAGCTATGGACAGAAGACTCACATGACAAGGAGTTCTTATTTTCAAGTCCTTGAGCTTTACATATACACTAACTAACTACGTAATTGTCACAAGCGCCAGTGTATGTCCCAACTTAGTCAGCAGAATATTGGATGAGTCGAAAACTCGTGCTTGATGATCGTTGCAAAAATATTCAATTTACACGATTTTGATTTAATCTTTTACAATTGATCTCAACTTTGATTCTGTTTAAGATTTGAAATAATTTGAACAACAACAACAACCTTTGGTTGAAAAGACTATTATTATGAATAGAATTGAAATTTTTCATCAATTATCTATTTCTGATTTTTACGTTTACTCTCTCTCATATACGTTACATTTGATAGGTAACTAATGATTGCTTTCTCCAAGTTTAAATGTAGTTTTATAACTGTTAATTGTTTAGGATGATTTAGATTTAAAACTCAACAAAGGTTTTTGATCAGCTTCGACTAGAGATGTGTGGAACAACTTTTTTTGATTCCGATGACCATTTCTCCCATCACACTATGCAAATTTTATCCATAGACCAGGTGAACATGTGATTCGTTGCTCAATATCGTGTCTTAAATGTCAATATAATCTGAAAAGAAAGTTTTATATTGAAAAATTATTGTGAAAGAGAACTCTGTGCAAAATCTACGTGGAAATGTTTTTTTTTTATAAGAAGACTAATACATTCATTATACATCATTTGATGCTGATTCGAAATGTAAAGTTAGCCTCTAATAAAAGTGTTTCTATATTGAGTAAAATGAGTTTAATTTAGAAAATCTTTAGCTGAGTCCTGAAATGCTAATGTTATATAGAAGTTATAGATGGAGATGCATTTTTTAGAAGTTTCGTCCAGTTTAAAATTGTGCAAGCTCATTATACTAAACATATGTTTCCATAAAAGCACTCGACATTCTATAAAAATGACTTTTTCTGACGAGGGAACCATCCGAGGTGTCAAAAAGCTTTTCGGTCGAGGATATGATGGTTAGATAGGCCATAGCTAGGAGTGACATACCCTAAGTTAGTTCGGGCCCAAGTTGAGATCTGGTTGAGATATCAACCTTTAACTAGAATTTGCCTATGGGCCCCCATCTTCGCNATACCAAATATTTAACTCAAATCTAAATATCGATTTTGATAGTCAAGACACTTCATAGTAAAATTTTATAGTTGACTTATGAGAGAAAATTTTCTGTGTGAAAATGAGTGTTTAAGAGCGTCATTTTAAAAAGTACAATATTCGGAATAAAATCAGATATTGTTTCATTTTCTATGACCTTTTCTTAAAAAATTTATTTTTTAGCAATTCTATTATAAACTTCGCTTCGTGATGCTCAGGCTATCATTTCGCTACTTTGAGAGTTGATCTTGTTGTACTATCACATGAATTTTATTGGCCAAGATGCACTTTATTTTCAACAATTTTAACATAGAATCTTGAAGTTTTATGATCTTTCGTCAATTCCTATCTATTTTTTTAATACGCTCTCGCATGTTTAGCAGACAAGCGGTGGACTGTCATTTGTAGACAAATGATTCAATGCAGACCAAAACTACTTAGAGTACGTACCGAAGCGACTGTTATGTATATTTTGGCGAAGTTCAGATACCGTATTTCATCAAATACTTTGATTATATTCAAAATTTAATATTTTAAGATGTTTTTAAAGAAGTTTTTATTCGTGTATTATTAACATCCAGTAACTTTAAATACAAAAAATTATTTTTTTTTATATGCCATTATATTCAAGTTGTCATGAAATTAATTAAAATTGATTAAACTTATTATATTTGTTCTTTCACATTTCGTGCTAAAAATCACTTTCATTCATACGAAACCATATAAAAATTCTATGATTTTAAATAAATCACATGAATGAGAACATACTTCAAGAGAGAAATAATAAAAAAAAATGCTAATTGTCAATTAAATAAATCATAAAATGAGTTTCGAAAAATTATTTTAGATGTGATACGAATATATTCTGAAATAGTTTTCTCAAGAGTGAAACCAAAAGAAAGTTGGTCGCGGATATTTCAAGTTTTCATTGATTTATATTATATAAATTAGAAATTTTCTGTTTCAAAACAAAAGAACCCCAAGAATATATCATACTAAATACAGTTTAGTTTATTTTCGTCTCATATTTTACTTTTTCTTCTACTAAAGTAAAAAAAAAAAAAAGTTCTTTTCTTAGACGACGTTTAGCTGAACATATTATTGTAACAGCAGCTAAAATTATTGGTAATAATTCAGATGGAGATTTTGTTAATGGTTATGAATGGTGTATTGAACAAGTACGAAATTCGACTTATTTAGAATTAGCTAACGGTCTTGAAATTCAAAAAGCTATTGCTTATTTACGTGAAGATAATTTTTCAAAGGTTAAAGCAAAACAAAAGAAAATTAATAAAAGATGATTTGTTGCTTTTTTTTCTCTCAGGCTATTACGACACTTAAACAATTCGAAAAAGCTGAAGCAAAATTAGCTAGTGCAGGTTTGTATAATAAACACAATAAAAAAAAAAGCACAAAATTAAACGCATAAAAAAACACACTAACACTTTATTATTATTATTTTTAGCTGCAACTAACCTATCATTTTTGCACTTTTTGGTATAATATTATGAATATTCTATGATTTTATTTGTCTTATTTTTTAGGAAAAAGATTTAATTAATGCACATAAATATGCAGATTTAGCATTAAAATCTGATAAATTTAATCCAGCTTGTAAGTAAATTAGAAATTCTATCATATCAAATTTTTGTTTTTCATTCAGCTTTAACAAACAAAGGTAATTGTTGTTTTGCTCAAGGTGATTATGATAAAGCACGATATTATTATGAAGAAGCACTTAATATAGATGCAGGTTGTGTCCAAGCTCTTCATAATCTTAGTAAGAAAATTTCAATAAAACATTTATATAATTGATAAATTCAATAAATTTTTTTTTTGAAGTTCTTACTTTAATGAATTTAAATCACTATCAACGTGTAAAAGATCTTCTTCATAAATATACATTAATTCAACCAGAAAATACACAAGTGTTTTGTTTAATGGCTCAAGCATTACAACAGACAAACGATTTTGATCATGCTAAAAGTTGGTTAGTAATGTTAGAAATTAATTTCTATTTTAAATTAGGATTTTTTATCAAAACATTAAATTATTTAGAACGTTTATCTTAATTTTCAATCTCGAAATTTTATAAATCTATTCATAGAATTGACTTGATTACAAAGCAGAGTTCTTTCAGTAGAAGAAATTTTGTTTTTCTTCGATGAACTTGAAAATTTTGCATATATTCTATCAAACAGAGAATAATAATCTAGTTTATCTAAGAAGTTACACGGTCTTTTCTCTCATGGTTCTTTCCAGCTTGAAAATCATTTTTGAGTTCAAATGCTGTCCATGAAGTAGATCACAATGACATATTTTAAAAAACTCCAAATGAATATCCACTCCTAGGCATTGTATACATAGGTATAGCCGTTTTACTGAAATTTTAGCCTTTAGCAAGTTATATACAAAAGAACCAAATGGCAATATTTTAATCTGAAATTTTGTTCACCGATTGGTCTACTTATAACTAGAATGACCTGAAAGTAGAGTTCTGTGAGATAAACAGAATCCGGGACGACGCAGGAAAAAAAATGAATGTCCTGAATTTTTATAATCTATATATCAAAACCTATCGTACATTTTGAGTTTTTCTTATTTCTAATAAATACTTAAATTAATAACACAAAAAATAAAATATAAAGAATTATAATGGCACTCGAGTAAAACCCGAATAGAACAGATGGCTGACTTTGGAACTGGAAAAAATCCAGAATGTGATCCTATATGGCATCTGCTATATCTAAATATTAGACTTCCATATAGAAAATTAGTTAGAATGAATTTCAGTCGTATTCCACAGTACTCATACTTGTGCTTGTATTCGAGAAAGTTCGTACTTGCCTAGTTGTGTCGTATTCAATTGTCTCGGCTCAACTGACAAATTAAGAGATAATTAATCTGAGTCAATCATTGCTGTATAAGAAAAATTTCAGCTGTTAATTATTGTTTTTCGTATTTTTTATAGCCTTGAAATAAAATTGTAAAGAAAACATTCATTTGAGCTGAAATTTTCAGAACATTCTAGTTGCAATGAGGACTATCTATTAGTAAAATATCAAGTCAAAATATCGTCATTCGATTCTTTTGTACAAACTTTCCTATCGACTAAAATTTCAATAAAAAGACCACAGCCTTATATGGAAGTTAGACCTTTTTCAGCCAATATTTTGTTAGAAAGCTACGATTTGATTCAAAACTAATATCAGATTCGGAATCAGCATTAAAAAATGAGTCGATTTATATATGTTGTGAATAATTCTGAGAAAAAAATTTTTTTTGAAAAAATCCCTGTACCCCCCCTCAGGGATGGTCTGATCAAAAATCACAATTTTTTTTATAACTCAGCCATTTCTCGACGGATCCTTCTCATCTTCGAACTCGACCGAGATATTGTAAAGACTGAACTGTGCAAAAAATTTCATCGCGATCTGACTCTCCTTTCGAAAGTTATCGTGTATACGGCCGGCCGGACATACGGACCGATTCTAGAGTATACTCACTTTTTGAGTACACAAAAAGAAACACACATCAAGTTATCGATGTTCGCTAATTTAATTACTATTCTGATCGATTACTAATATTAATCGTACTGGTATTTTATGTATCATTCATTGTCATAAAGAAAACCATTAACTTTCTTTCATTGTCGTTTTTCAATTGTTCTATATTATCATATTTCCACCCTCATAATTGCTCTTTTAATGTGCTTCAGATATTTTCTATATACCAAAACATTAGCTGGATTTGTAGTACAATTTTTTGGTTCATATCAATTGATAAAACATGTATGATAGTATCAAAACCTAGGTGCATCATTTATTTAGAATCTTGAGTATGTTGGAAAATTCATTTCCTAACTCGCTTTCTTAATTCTTTGAGCTATTTTTGTTTCTCTATTGTTAATGTTTATATATCTATCATCAATGGGTATAAAAATGAATATATATATTTGCAATTTCAAGCAAAACAGGATATACCCACTTTTCATTAACTTTGATTCTTTACAAGAGTTATTTTTCTGAATAAATTCTTTTAGCATAGACATATGGAAAAATGTTGATTAACTATGAATTAGTGAATATTTCTCTAGTCATACGAGACTAGTGAAATTTTCATTGAGATTGAACTTCAAAAAATTTCTTCTTCAAAATCAATCTTCTAGAGATTATATCAAGTCTGGGAAGAAAAATCTAGAAGTTGTGTACCGTTTGAAATTTTGCATTTGATTATAAGAGCATTTTTCGTACTCCATTATCTCACTAACGAAAAAAAAAATGATTCTTTTGAAAAATTTACACATGTTTAGAAAAAAACCTTGAATAACAATTTTATAACCCGAACAGTTGTCGGCAGAATGTTATGTTTAATTTTCAAAAATGTTGTCTTAATTTGAAGTTTTTTTTTTCTAACTACAATCCCTGAAGTAAAAATAAATGTCCTTATTTTTATTATGTCGCTAAAGCTAGTTTTTTTTTTTATTAATAACTCCTTTGAACAAAATCCATTAGCGCTGATTTCTTTTAGAACATTTAGAGTAACTTAATATACCTGTAAGATATAAAAATTAGCTCTTGGACAATTCATTATCTTGAGCTACACGAGTTTTAATTTCGCAAAGTCATGTCACTAATGAATAATTTTGTTCTTATGTTCAAGAAGAACACATCTTTTAGTTTTAGCACGTCTTTACCAAAATTATCCTGGATTTAACATTGTTGAGCAATTTTTTTATCGCATATTATCAACTTAAGTTATTATCAACTTAATTAAATAATTCATAATAGTGTTGTTACAAATTCTCATCTATAGTAAAAGCTATAGACTTCAAACTTTGCTTTTATTTAGTACTAAAGTATATGTAAAGAGATATCCCTTGAATTTAACAAGAAAAAAAAAGCATTCATTAGTAATATATCAATTTAATCAAATTCTTTTAAGATATTCTCACGTTTATGTAAAATAAATTAGTATAAATATGTATTTTATTAAAAATCTTTTTTTTTTCTTTAGGTATTTACAAGCATTAAGTTCTCATCGAACAGATGGACATTTACATCGACGAATCGGTGAATTAATTGATTCTCAAGGTGATAAATCAGGTGCAATACAATATTATTTTGATGTAAATTATCTCATCTTGAAATTTCAAAAATAAAAATCGATTGTTTTTCTATTTAAAGGCATATCGACATAGTCCATGTGATATTCAAACATTAGAATGGTTAGCATCTTATTATATTGAAACACAATATCCAGAAAAAGCTGTAGAATTTTGTGCACAAGCAGCTTTAGTCAAGTAAAAGAATATACTTTTTTTTTTTTCCTTAAATAAAATTAAAAAGAATTTTTTAGACCCAGTGAAATAAAATGGCATTTAATGGTGGCGTCATGCCATCGTCGTTGTGGTGATTATGCAGCTGCCATAGAAAAATATAAATGGATTCATCAACATTTTCCAGATGATATTGATTGTAAGATTGAGACAAATAAAAAATACAATTTTCTTTTTTATCCAAAAATAGAAAATATATATATTTTTTTTGTCTTTATTCAAAGTAATGAAGAATGACACATTATATAGATAATTATGAATAATAATAATAATTTTTCTTTATATTCTAACTGATAATATGTGACACATGTCTTTAATTAGAAAAGAAAAACAATTCATACAACCGCTGCTAGTAATATGCACTTGAGAAAAAAATAATTGCAACTCGTATTTTAAATATATCTTCATTATAAAAATACATTTCAAAAAAAAAAAAAATAATTACATATTTTGAAAATATTTGAAGTTTTCTATAATCTTTTGTATTTATGTTTTAGTTTACACTTAGACACTACAGAAATAATTCGAGTGCAATGAAGGAACTCGAAACACCAAATTGTCACGCACTCTATTTTGCTATTATCATCAAAATTAGTTTTGAAAATTTTTTGGTTACTATAAAATTACCTTTTAAAAAAATACAGTCTGATAGAGTTTGAATTTCTTTATCATTCTATATATTTATCTATTGTCTTACACTTATCTGTTGCCACAAATATATGTATGATAATAAATAAATATATTGAATGATAGAGAATTTCTAGTTCTATCAGATTATATATTTACTTCTCTTAAAAACCTAATTCTATAATGATGAAAAATTTTTAGAACTAATTTTCATAATAATGACTATATGAAGTGTAGGGGAATCGGATGATGTAGGTGTCTTCATTACACTCAATTAGGTATGCTTGCGCAAAAGTGCAAACTAAAGCACAAACGTAGCCGCGTAATAGGAAACTCCGAGCGCTTTCAACCTATGTAATTATATTTTTTTTTTGTCTGGCCTATATATCAATAATTCAAAATTTCTTCAAAAAGAGATTCTAAATAATTTTTTTTCAATAATAGATTAAATAATCTTGCAATTTTCATATGAAACATTCAGCTAATAGTTAAATTTTATACGTTTCGTTAATTTGACATATATTTTTATTATAGAAAAATTTCTTTTTCAAAGAAAATGTTAAATTTATAATCATTTAATCTTGGAAATAATCTACTAGTAAACTTGTACAAATAGATAAACAATAAAGAATGTCGTTTATAGCTAAAGAATGAAGTTTATGGCTCAGAGTATAGAGATAAGAAAGTTTTATATGTAAAGATATCATTGAAAATATTTTTTGACGGTTTTACTATCGATATTTATATGTAAAACATAAAAGTTATTATGTCAACTATTCACCTTGATATTAATATTTTAATCATAACTTTATTATGATTTTTTTTGCGTGTAGGTATTCAATTTTTAATTAAAATTTCAATTGATCTTAGCTTACCTGAACGAGAAATGTATGAAAATGAATTAAAAAAAGTTAATAAAATGAAAGAAATTCAACTTCAAGTATATTATTCAAATATTTGCAAAACAAAAAAAAAATTGTTTTTTTTTTATTATATAGCGTAAAACAAGTGCAGATAAAAGTCAAAATATTGTTAAAGGTCGAAAAATTTCATCAGCTGAACGTGAACGTATTTAAAATAATTATTTTCTAGAAATTATTATTCATTTATTTATTTTAAGCTTCTTCTATCAATCGTAATCAAATTACTGATGATCACCGTAAACGTACACCAATTAATTTTGATAATACTGAAGGCGTTTTTTCTCAGCAAGGTTTCTTTTGTTTTTTTTTTTTGTATTTTACTTAACTATATATTTTCTCCTAGGACCTATTACAATTCATCCTTATATTGATCAATTTCCTCAACAAATGACACACGAACGACCAAAAACTGCTATTAGCAAAAAAGAAACACATGCAATAGTTTTTGATGACAATGATGATGCAGCTGAACTTTTACCAGATTAAAAATAAACATCTATGAATTGTCTTTTTGTTTTGTGATCTTTGTATAATAATAAAAAAAAAAAGTCATAATGTCAATATAAGCTAACTGTTAAGTCTCTTGAAAAATTGTGTTTACTATATAGTTTCTTTTCTCATATGTTTTGCAGCTGATCATTATTTTTCCTTTTTTTTGATTATAACGGAAGAGTGGTTAACGCGTGAAGAAAAAAGGGCAAAATGTGCCTGTTTTACATCCCTTTTTTTGGATTTTGCAGAGAAAGGAAGAACAGCGTTTTTGTAAGAAAAAAAAAAAAAAAAGAAAAAAAACGGGCCGACGACCTTTTCTTTTTCTTTTACAAGCGGCCACAGATACCATAATAAGTAGAAAACAAATGTCAAAAAAAATCTTTCTTGGTTTGTCTTCGGTAGATTTTTTTTTCTTTTGAATACAAAAATAAATTCATGATTTTTTCACATATTTATTAATAAAAATTGTATTTTGATAACTTGATTCAATAAAAAAAAAAAAAACTCGATTGTTCATATTCCCTGTGGGCTAATTGACAATAAATATGTAGAAGTTCAAACATAGTCGTGAATAATAATAATAATAAGCATAGTTTGAACTTATTTAAATGATTAAAAGTCGAGGGATGTTTTGATGATCGTGAGTTCTGTCCTGAAAAAGCACTTATTTTTACTTGAGAAAATGTGTCTTTCTTTCTTCTTTTTTTCTCTCTCTATTTCTCGCTCTCATTTCTCCTTTCTGTGTGCGTCAAAACAGTCTCTGTTCGTTGTCTGTCAGTCGACATAATCACTCATCAATTAGAACAGAGGAATAATACATCGGATATTTTTTAATGAACTACTGTAAAAAGTCATCTTCACCGCAAATGCATATTTTTGCTTAGGGAGTAGTAATTTTTTTTTTTTTTTTTATAAAAAAAACCTATAACCAGCAACAAGTTTTTAACAGTAGTCTTGCTGAGGACGAGCTTCGGCATAGAAATAAATTGGTTATTACTCTCTACAGATATTTTTACTTAAGAGAAACTCTTAACTTTTGATAAACAATTGAAATAAAAACTAGACATTCTTTTTTAGTTTAACGTTCCATAATCAACATCACTTAGTTAGATAATTAGGAAAATGTATTCGACTGTTTCTAATCTTGGTTTATTATCATCATCAAAGAGTATGAATTCATTTCAAACATGGAATTATCATAACGATTATCATTTCGGTGATGGTTCATTTCATCATTATAATCCATTTTTAACACAAAAATCCAATGATGATGAAATTGTTTTAGAAAAATTTCATCATGATACATTAATTAAATTAGAAACAGGTGAGAAAAAAAATATTCAACAATTAACAAGCAATGATTTTATTATAAGTGCAAAACAAAACCAACAATACTCAAGGTAAAAACCAAACACGAAAAAGAAGAAGAAAAAAAAATAACTTTTTTCATAACCAACTATACAAATATGTTATGTATTTTCATATATTTAGTCTTTTGGCACGCGTAGAATATATAGGTTGTCTTGATAAATTAACCGGTAAAACTGAATTACGTTTTCGTATAAATGGAATTGAAAAACCAGTAAGTCACATGCATATTAAATTAATTTATTAAATATTTTTTCTATTTTAGGTATCATATTATGTTTCACAAGAAATGCCATTTTTTGTTCATCAATATTCTTGTTGGTCATCAATATCACCGAAATATACACATCATTTAACTGGATTAAATTGTCGTCAATTAGAATGTGGTGATTTAATAATAGCTATTATTGAAAAAAAAATTGATCAATCTAAAATAAATATTCAACCTAATTATAGTCAACGTTCACCAACAAAATGTTTAGTTGAAAGATATATGAATGAAAAGATATCATCATCAAAGGATAATATTATGTCAAAAAATAAACGATTTAAAATATATAATGAATGAGGAAAGACATGCGCTTTCTTTTCATTAAATTAATTCCTCTGTGTCTCGATTAAAGTACGCTTTGGACGCGTCTAAATGTCCTTGATAGTTTTTGCTTGAACGCATCCATACATATAGGCATATAGGTTATTTCGTTTTTTTTTCCTACTTTGCATAAATAATAGTAAATGAGTTTTGTTTGGTATTGTCTGCATTACTTTCTATATAACAGATCGAACTTTCTATAAGAGTTTTTAGTTTGGTTTTTGTTGCAATATTTATTTTCTTCTCTGTTTATTGTCAGTAGTTTGTCATTGTTTTTCTCGCTTGTCTTTTCTTTTTTTGATGATTTTTATGTTATAGGTCAAATTTTTTCTTATGTTGTTATTTATCTTATCTATATTAAATGTATGTTTAGTTGGCAGTTGTTCATTATATTTGAAAGCGAAAAGGTGTTCCTTTTTATTGACAGGAAAGTAATTTCTGTGTGTTCGTATGTTGTTATTCGTAGGAAACATTCTATTTATATTCAATATCAATAAAGAATATTGTCTAATTTAGTTTTTTTCTTTTTGGATTATATAAAACTTTTCAATAAGCATAGAATTATCTAATTTGTACTATTTATAATGTCAAAGACGGATCATGATGAAAATACTAATTATTTTTAGGGTTTATACTTGTTTATAAGTTTCAACTGACTTTTAAAATTTCATCAAAATTTGTGATTATACTCGATTTAAAAAATTATAATTATCATTTGATTTCAAAATGATGTGGAAAAAAATTCTTCCTGTTTGTGACACGTTGTTTTTTTGTACCAATGGGAAAAATCGGGTAAACATATTTCATCATGGTCGCGCCGACTGTGACTAACGAGAGAATCTTTGCAAATGATAAAAGGACTTTGAACTTCAATTTTTATCTACAAATAGAGGATGTAGAGAATAGAAAAAGTCTAAGAAGATATAGACGTAAGTTTAGGAATATTCAGATTTCCAAAAAAAACTACTACCTAAAATTCTTATAGTACTTGTTGGTGAACTTTGTCTATTTGAATAGAATTATGAAATTACGGAAGGTGCCTTGAAATTATCCTCTCTTGTGTCAGTACTATCGGAAATTTATTTTCTTAGAAATATGAATACTGCTGTTTTTTGATTGTTAATTGAGTACAATGTGTGGAAAATGTACCTGTTTTCTAATCTTACAGTGTTTCTTTTTTCAAATAC